TGATGCGTCCACACATTCAATAACCTTCTGTATAACGTGATTGCCATTCTGATCTTTCACGCATCTCAGCACCTAAAAAATTTATCAAAAAATCAAAGCTCTTCCACACTTACTCTGCAACTATACAGGCGAAAGCATTCTTTCTTGAAAGCAGTCTGAGTATGCTCACAGAAATCACGGAATTTTTTCAGAAAAACACAAAAACATGAATTTTGCGGCACTTCTAATCATTAACATTTGCTCACCTGCCCCTCCAATTCCCTCAGGATATCCATTTGCTGATCCTCATCGATACTTTCCAAAGCTTTTTGGATAACACGGCATCCATACATCTGCACTGCCAATGTCAGCACATTACCCTTAAAAAAAAAGCAAAATCTTCAAAAATATTGTGCCAATTGCCCTGCAATACCGATAAGCAGAAAATTTTCCAGGTTAAAATTCTTGCAAAACGCATGCTGGTCCCCGTATTCCAAACGAGACAAGGTACCACTGCAAGCAAATATTACCAGAGCAACCAATCAGTGGTTTAAATCCGAACAATCAGACCTTTTTTGCATCGCTTATCGCATTCTGACTCAAAATTAAGAAAAGATTTTCCGGCTCGCATCGCAATTTCCCCTTCAGATTTTTTTCTTGCACTTGAAACCAATACAAAGGAACATCTGGCTCATGAAAATTATCAACTTTTGTCATGGGTTTTATCCCGACAAAAAAGCAATTTAGAAATCAGTCCAGGGCAGTGATTACTAAAATCAAGCAGCATAACTGCAGTGAGTCTGGGAAAGACAATCTTCAGCGGCAAGTGTTTAAGATAATAATAATTACCAAAATGGTCTGGTTGAATTAATTCAGGCGCAACAAGAACTATAGAAAATGAGGTTCGGGGAGGGGCGAAATGCGGCAGAAATTTGATACAGGTTCTAACTACAGAGAAAAGCATCATGTCAAATGCAACAAATCTACAGAACAATCAACAGTCCTGCCAGATGCTGGCATTCACTTCCGTGTTTTATAGAGG